CATGTTTAGCATTATGAGTTCAAATAAGTTCAGGGCTTAAGAAAATTATTTAGCCCTAATATTTAGCATAATGAGTTTAAATAAATTCAGGGTTTAACGAAGTGATTTAGGCTTAACATGTTTAGCATTATGAGTTCAAATAAGTTCAGGGCTTAAGAACATTATTTAGGCCTAATGTTTAGCATTATGAGTTTAAATCAATTCAGGGTTTAACGAAGTGATTTAGGCTTAACATGTTTAGCAATTTGACTTTAATTCAGTTCAAAAGTTAACGGAATGACAGTTTAGATAAAACGTATCTTAAATATATATAAATAAGTAATATATGTAATAAGTCTTTGAGGCTAAATATTTATGTAGGAATTACAAAACGCGTTTTTGGTTCTTTTCACTAATAAAATAGGTGTACCGTATACTGTTACAAAACCAGAAAATACATATCTACTGGTAGAAAGTGTATTATGTAAGAACATTAATATAAAGCTCATAAGTTGTATTTATGATTGTAGAAAATGTAACGATTAATAAAGTCATGACGCAGTAGCGTTGCAAGAGACTTATTTTGTGCAACAGACAGGTCTTTCGTTTCGCAATGTTGTTACACGTGTAATGTAATCAAAGCATTAGAAACTTGATCAGTAAATAAGTGAACCGTCTCATGTGACACACTTGTAACACTTGGCCGGTTTCGTTTTGTTCAGCAAAATGGCGTTTTAAATTCTTATGGTTGTGGCGATCGGATAACAATTGTTGTAATGATTAGTAGCCTATATGGTCACATAAATCTAATTATTAATTAGTTATTTTTTTAACTACTATATATTAGTTATTAGCGTTTGTTCTATATTTTGACTGTTAATGTGACACCGGGGAGGTTCTGAGCAGGACTGTTTCTTTAATGGTGGCAGTGGTCGGGATTCGATCATGGAGGTTCTGAGCAGGACTGTTTCTTTAGTGGTGGCAGTGGTCGGGATTCGATCATGGAGGTTCTGAGCAGGACTGTTTCTTTAGGCCAGTGGCCGGGATTCGATCATGGAGATTCTTAGCA